TGTGAGTAAGTTGTGTGTGAGTCAGTTGTGTGTGGGCAAGTTGTGTGTGGACAAGTTCTGTGTGAGTAAGTTGTGTGTGAGTAAGTTGTGTGTGTGAGTCAGTTGTGTGTGAGTAAGTTGCGTGAGAGTAAGTTGTATGTGGACAAGTTGTGTGTGTGAGTAAGTGGAGGTTTTGGTGATGCAAAGGATGCAGGAGATGTTCTGTAGATGAGGTGAAAAGATGAATTTGGCAGTTCTTTAGGAAAAACCCTTCGCAGGAGCTTTCAGGGAAAAGAATCAAAGGCAATTCCGCCCGTCCCGCCCGTGTCCAGCAAGGCAACCAGGAACTCGAGTCAGGGGCACACCTCCTCTTGCTCCACCTTTCAGTGACTATTCAAATCTGACAAAAATGGCACATCTGCCCCCCCGGCATGTGAATAGGATGAAAAGTTTGAAGGAAACAACTTCACCGCAAAATTCGAACCCCTTGCTACCCCTTGCCAAGACAATGCCTGAGGTGCAGTTTGCTGAAGTGGCGCCGCGCTTTGCTGAGGAGGTGCCGCACTCTGCTCAGGTGGTGGATTTTGCCCCCCAGATTTCGTCATGAGGCAGCACCGTGTATGCGTCAAAGGGTTTGAGGCTGCAACACAACAAACGGAATATATCGGAATTGCTAATGATGACCGCTAAAATGCATCAGAGCAAATGAGAAGAACAAGGCGGCGGGAGGAGGACGGGGAGGAGGCAGGCGGGAGTGCAGAACCAAAAACAAGAACCCCACACAAAGATGTGGGGAACTATTGCATCTCCATTGGTTCAATCAATCAAGAGCTATGACTTGCAATTTATGTTTGGAGACCATGTTGCACCTCCTTCGTTTAATTCCCAGATCTGCTGTGCTGCATTTTTCTTTTTCAGTCGGTGACTGCTGGTGACTCCTTTGTGCCTTCTGAAAATGCAAAAGCTACTTGCCACTGGATTTGCCACTTACGACTGCAAATTGGCCTTCTAAACTCTAAAGATGTTATAAGTTTTCGACTTTTGTATCATGGCTTACGACCGTTCTAATACCCATCTCCTATATTCACATTGTGCTTGCTGACTCTTCAGACAAGTGCACCACCCTTTCCTTAAATGTGCGTTTGTGTTTCCATGTTGTTCTTGGTCCCATTCTTATTTCCGTTTCAAAGGGTGAGTTTAGATATCAACAATCCAAGCGTTGATGAGGCCACGAGCCCCAGTAGCACTAGCTAAACATACGAGTACGGGTATGAGTATGAGACCTGTTCTGAGTCATCCGATGAAGCCCGAAACGCTCCCAAAAACGGAAGCCCGAAACGCTCCCAAAACGGAAGCCCGAAACGCTCCCAAAACGGAAGAACATAACATCCCCAAAACGGAGCCTCTTTGAGCTCCTCAACCCGTTGCGTTCATGGCCATCACAATTGGCAGTGATTCAGGTGTTCCTTGCATCATGTGGAAACCCCTTTTTTGAACCGTGGTTTTCTTGTCTAGTCTATGTTGTTTTTTTGACGCAACCGCAATCGCAAAGATGTACCGGGGTGTAGTCACAAAGAATTCAACATCATCAGGTGCTCTGCTATTTTTTTCGCAAAACTGTTGAAGCCAAAGCGAATAAATACATCAATGAATTTATAAATCAATAAGTTGATAAATCATAGTTAATAAACAAACAAAAAATAACAAAATAAACGCAAAAACAAACAAACAAACAAACAAAACAAAACAAAACAAAACAAACAAACAAAACTTTCATTAAAAAATGAACAAACAAATACATGAAGGTATGAATATACATAGATAGTAAAATCATCAGTTCACATACTTTTTGGCCCTGCAATTCATTCAGCCACACTTGGATAAACATTTACTTGTCCCAACTTTTTGCCACTAGCAGCCAAACCATGAGGAACCCAAATTGTCGCGGCTACATGTCAGGCGACTGCATTGGGACTTATTGCGATCCATTTTTTTCCAAAACGGAAGGATTACATAAAATCTCGCAGCAAATGCACAAACTGGCATTGCTGACAAGTGCTGAGCTTTACTAGCGTCAAAACAGCAAAAGCAAAATGATGTTATGATCACAACTGGAAAATACTGGAATTGTATTTGACCCTCGCCCTGTGATGCAAATGTTTTCATTTGGACTCCGGCGACCTGAAATTAAGAATGAAACTTGAAAAGAATAAGGGCTATCCTCTTTTGGGAAGGGTAGCTTCCTTTACTTCTCTTGTTTTTTGTCCATGCATATATCTGTTTTGATTGGGAGACTGGGGCTATGCATTTTCAATTTGAATTTAGTTTTACCTTGAATCTTAATTAATGCTTAAATTTAGTTTTTTCATGTCAACCTTAGACTCGAAGCTAGCATTCATTTTCAAATGTGTTTTTAGTAACTTTAGTAATTCATTTTTGACCTGAAAGTTATCATCCATTTTGGATTTTTAATCTAAACGTATTGAATATTTAAAGTCAATATTCATGATTCACTTTTAAATTGAGCGGCTCTTCAAGGGAGGCTGGCGTGTTCTCCCAGACACTCCCGAACTTTTCCCCCTCTTCTGCTTGTACTTGTCCGCACATGCTCGTCTTCCTTTACGTCTCCTCTTTCGCATCTGTTTGCATCGTTGCTGCTGCTGCTGCTGCGCAGGAAAGGTTGGCTCTTCAGGGGCGCTCTCAACTATGGGCATTCTTTTAGCTTCTTAAGGCAGAAGCTTAACCTTCCCCCCTTCCCTCCCTGTCATTACATCTTCTTTTTTGGAAGGCGGGAAATGGCTGGCTGAGTCTCTTTTATGAAGGTTGGGCTGAACTTCATCTCTCAAATGCCCCTTTTCCTCGACTTCCCCTCGTGTTTATTTTATCTATCTGTCTATCTCTTTGTTGTTGCTGCGGCGAGGAGTTGGCAAGGTGCTTTCAGCTGTGGCCGCGCTTAACCTCTCTTCTGGTGATTGCTGGTACTGGGGTGGAAGGGTTGGGCCCTGCAGAAGGGATGAAGCAGATCACTGATAGACATAGTCTTCACTCCTATGGATGTCCGTCACTCTCTCCTGGTGTTGTCATTTGGGTGGAAGGGGTTGGCTTTTGGGCCAGATATGTAATCCCAATTATTTCCCTCACTTTTTGATGTCGTATTTTGGCTTTCCGCTTGTCCCTTTCTTCCTTGCACCACAAAATGAATCCAAAACAGGGACCCCAAAATGGATGCCCCAAAACTTTGTGAAGGGAGTCCAAAAGCAATGCTTTGGAGCATCTCAATTCTCATTGAACATGTTCACAACAAATGAATGAAAATGAGAATGAATTATGTAAATGCGGGCCCTTGAATAATCTCAGGTATCTTGGTTTGTGTTGTCTATCTGATTGGGGTGTGCGCCAGCGGAGTCCTGATGGCACGGTCCCTTTTGTGGTCTACACGTTTTGCTTTCCTTGGCAGGCCTGATGCCTCATGGTTAGAACGGAAAAACATGAATTTATGAGAAAAACAAAGGAAAATTGAATGCTAATGTTTCATTTTGGGAGGGATAAATTTGACCTTGGAAGTATTCTGGGAGTATAGTTCCCATTTTAATATAGTGTATTCCCAACGAGGTCCGAACACATGTGAATTCTTTTGGCATATATTCATGCCACAACTTCTTGAACACATTGTTGCCACTCTTGGACTGAGCTATATGAAATTTGCCGGAATGGAATCTAGGGAGACGCAGATAAAAAATGCAAAAAAATACCCCCAAAAAAGAGTCTCACAACGTGCACAGCTCGAAAGCCGACTGTGGCCATGCAGGCATTCAAAAAATCCAAAAGCTTTTAAGAAATCACCTATGCTTTGGTGCACGCCGCGACGAGACTACAGTTGTCAAAAGAATGGAAATCTATGTGCAGGACCCACAAGAGAAAGGGTCCAGGACAGGAACTAGATTCTATTCATCAGAGATGTTAGGAGGTGATGGCGCTGATTTCTTGAGAGTGGTTGCATTTTGGAACATCAGATCTTCAGTTTTGGGAAGATGATTTTGCATGACTGGTGCAGCACTTCGTATGACCTGGTATCAATTTTTCGTGGCAGGCGCAGTACTTTAGACAGGTGGAGTGGAAAAATCTCAAAACGCATTGGTACGAGGCCATGGTCAGCTCTGCACTCAACTGTCCATTTTTGAAGGAAGTCTCGCAGAATTGCTTCGTTTTTGATGTTGCCAAGTTCAAAAATTGAGGAAGTCTCGCAGAATTGTCTCGTTTTTTAAATGTCAAGTTCAAAAAGTGAAGTCTCGCAGAATTGCTTCGTTTTGGATGTTGTCAAGTTCAAAAATTGAGGAAGTGTCGCATAATAGCTGCGTTTTCAAGCAGGCAGACAGACAGACACACAGACAGACAGACAGACAGACAGATAGACAGACAGATAGACAGACAGACAGACAAACAGATAGATAGATAGATAGACAGCTACAACAACAACTACAACTGCAACTACAATTGTAACTACCGCTAAATTGCACTACACGACACTACACCAATTACACTACACCACATACAATATACCACGCTACAGCTACAACTACACTACCTTACACTACACTAGACTACACTACACTATACCACACTACAGTACACAACACTACAGTACACTACAATGCAGTACGCTACAATACACTACACTAATTACACCACACCACAACTACAACTACAACTGCAGCTGCAACTACACTACACTTATTACACATTACAACTACAACTCCACTACACCACACTACAATTACAACTACAACTGCGCTACACCACACTACATCCAGCAGTTGTGGTAAGGTGACCACTGCAACCATTGCAACCACTCCAAAAAACACAACTCCAACCACCTGTCAGTCCATCAGTGGATTCGCTCTGCCATCTGTGCTTCACAACAACCAACCTCTCCTAAAGGTTTCCTATTTTTGAAACTTCCGCCATCGCCTTGTGCGGTACTACTGGTATCACAATCAAAGATAGACGTCAATCCAAGTTACTTTCCACCAGTTCTGGCTTTTCCAAAAGCTTTTCGAGTTCATTTGCGCCATTTCCTGCTGAAGCTAGGAGGAATTTCTTCCAATTCTCCTGGGTCATGTCGCAGCAATCCATGTTCAGTCCCAAATGTTCCTGAGCTGGCAAACTTGCCCAAACTTGCCCAAACACCACCGAAGCGTCAAAAAAAGACCAGAAGACATATATTTTTTGGAAATGATCAGAAAATGGATGAACATGCTATCACATGAATTCAAATGATATGAATTGCTTCAACTTCAACGTGTTCGTGTTTGAAAGCAACTTAAATGATCTGAGAGATCTGGACAATCGACTCGCTGCATCTTGCTATGATAAGCTATGCTAAAAGCCATTGCTAAAAGCTATGATGCGGAGGAAAAAAGTATATATACAATGGATGTCAAAGCTATGATAAGCTATGCTTAATGCATGCTTAATGCATCTTGATGCGCTATGCTTCGCCAAGTTTCCATGACAGCCTCTCCCATGCCTCGCTCCTTTGATGCTTCGGGAGGCCCAGCATTGCCTCAGCAGATGTCAAGTGATGTCAAGTCGATGGCACGAAGTCTTCCAAGGCTTTCCCGGCATGTTTGAAAAAAAATGAAACATTTTGAAACTGCATGAAGCTACTTGCCTCCATCTTGTCTTGCCTTCAACAGCATCAATAGCCGAAAATCATCCACGGTCACAAGATGTCACAAGATGTCACAAGGCTCGTCTGGTTTCTCTCTTGGTTTGTTCCTTTGTTCCACCAAGTATAGCTTAAGTGACCGCTGGCAAAGAGCCCCAGCAAGTTGGTGGAAGGATCCTGATGCCAAAGTCGAGCAAATTCGTATGCCAGGATGGCTCCCAGTGAGTCGCCCCACGCGTAGAAGCACCTCGATGCAGCGATGAAAGTCGCATGTGATTGTGATATATATATATATATTATATATTAATATATATTAATGATAGCAGCTCTGATAGCATGTGCAAATACGATCAAATACGCGCAATAGGGCGTAAATCGAATGTAAATAGGGCGTAATAGGGCGCAATAGAATGCCTGGCAAATCATTGTAGCCTCTGGGAGCATGCCCTATTCACACGAGTTCATTGAAAACCATACCTCGAGATGATTTGGTCCCTAACCACTCTAAGCTGTTTATTCGACAGATTTATCATGATTTATCTCGAGATTCCAGAATGTTTCATGCCACAGGCGCTTGTACTTCCTTGCCCAAGTCATGACATCAGGCTTCAAACTCTCCAGAAGTTGCTGAAAGTCTGAAATGGTCGCTTCATCTGCACGACAACCGCGTCCCGGCAACTCCACGGCGTACAGCTGCAAGCGACTGCGTTCCGCCACAGCCTGGTAAGTAGCCGCAGAAGTTCCAGCTGCGCAGAAGATGATCCTGGAAAAAAAGTGGACTTCAACGGGCCAAAAGAAACGGTTAATCTATGTTAATCGGTTGGGGTTTGTGATCCCCCAAGAATGGCCACCAAAAATAAGGATACTGTTACTAGCTCCTAGAATATCTAGAATACTTAAGTCCAGTGCAAGACTCATTGGCAAGCCACGTTGTGGTGGTGACAAGCGCATCACACAACCCACACCACTGCCACTGCCATCCCCAGATAACTTTCCAAGCAATGCTCGGACAGTGCAATCTTCGGACATCAAGAAAACCAAGTCAGGTCGACGGTTGAAAGCTGCATTCACACGAGAACACAACTGCACAGCCGTGAGGGAATGACCGCCATAGGCCACAAATGGAGTCAAGACTCCGACTTGGACTTTCAGTACCTTTTCCCAAATTTCGACCATTTTCTTCTCATCCTCTGTTGCAGGTGGTTCGTAGTTCTCTGTATGTGCAGAAATGGCCTGCAATGCCTCCGCTGCATCAGGTAAAGCTCCACGGTCAATCTTGCCGGCCGCATTTTTGGGGAAGGACCTCGCCAAATCGGCGCAAACTAAACCCCCTTCAGTGGAGATCAACAATCAACTAACAGTAACTAACACCTTCGTGGCAGCTCAACAAGTTGGTCCGTGTGTCTGTGTGTTGTTTTTTTTTGTTTGCCCTTGAGGTAAGGACTCCATCGGGATGTACACTGAGGGTCTCATAGCTGGCAACAAAGAGGTGTCCGATGCCCATGCCTTCATCACATCATTGCAAGCCTTGATGGGATCGAAGTTCATTGCTTCGAAGTCTTGGGGTTGATTCTTGAAGCTGGAAAGGTCCTCCAGAAATTCAACATTACCCACTCAAATCCACTCAACGTAGATGAACTTAGTCACTCCAAGTCCGTTCAAATCACTTCAATCATCTGTAGTATTTTTAACTTGGGACGACACCTTTTTCCCCACCAATAGATCTAGTACCTGCATAGTGCCTGCATAGTACCTGCATAGCGTATTCCCAAACATCCACATCCACCCATCTCCTGTACCTATTCTTCGTTCATGATTCATGCATGACATTACAAAAACCTGTTCTTTCTCTTTTGCAGGGGTATAGGCGTGGTCATGTCAAGAGTTGAATTCCTAGTATTGTTGCGTTAGTGTTTTATAATTTATAATTTATCGTGTTTTAGTGTGTCTCTAGAAGCTTCAAGACAACTGAACAATATCAAGCAATATCAAGCAATATCAAGCAATGTCAAGCAGTATCAAGCAGTATCAAGCAGTATCAAGCAGTATCAAGCAGCAAGTGTAGCAAGCAGCACAAAAAGTAATAGTTTATCGGTCGCATGTCTGATATTCTCGGCATTCCGCTTGGTCCTCTGGCAAGTCTTCGAAGGAAGCTGCTGTGGCTGCTGCCAACCAAGGTCCTTCAGCAACTTCTTCACGAAGCAAAACGAAACGAAGGAACCCTGGATCTTCATCCCAAATGACTCGCCTCCCATGAAAAAATGTAAAAAAAAATGAGATAGAGGAAGATAGTGATAGATAGTGACAAACTGCGGTCCTAAAATCAGGGGATATTCCATTAATATGAGGAATCAGGGCCTATGATATACGAATGTCTTTGGTGGAAAGAACAATGGAGATCGAGTAAAAGGCAACTTGAGAACAAGCTAGAACACATGTATAAAAAAATATAAAAAAAAAGATTAAAAGATTTAAAGCTAGACAAAAGAATAGGATAGATTGGATAGAATAGGTCTGATGTCTGATATCTCAAGCAGGTTCACTGTGTCCACCCTGGAGGGAGCCGCATGGTGAAGAGCATCTCCGGTTCCACGCCATACTTGTGACTTTCCTCCACGGATCCAAGGTGTGCATCTGCAGGGTGAAGCAAACCTGAGCCGAACCACATGGGATGACATGGCTCAGACCGGTGGGATCACGCCGATGGGATGATCGTCACGGCTTATGCAGACCTCTGTGATCATTGTGATCTCATACTCTTAAAATGATCTAATATATGATCTAATATATGATCTAATATGATCTAATCATATCAAATCCATAGCAACATGACTCATGACAGTCAAGACATGGTGACCGGTGGTCTTGACCGGTCATGACCGGTCATGACTCATGGCCACACGGCCCACGGCCAGGCGCCTGGAAGGCTCAGCATCTCCATGTTTTGTTTGGCGGCCTCTTCCAGCCACTCCAGCAGACGCGTGGCCGCGTAGGTCCGAGCATTTGGCAAGCTGACGACCAAGCCATCGGCACCGTCCTTCTCGGCCTGACATCGGACATCACACAATACAATCAACTGTAAAAATTACAACATGTTGATATGATATTTTATACAAATGTGTTAATATGCATGTTAATATGTTTGAACACATTACACAGATGTTGCCTTTAGTGCACTGTGAACCAAACACATCCTGCATTCAATGTACACAACAATGCACAAAACAACGACACAATACGTGTAAAAACAAGAACAACATACAACAACCATTTGAATCATTTGAACATACTTGAAGTAGCAACACAAGTAGAAACTAGTAGAAACCCTTTGAAACTACTGTGACATGGGTGCCTGGAGCAAATGATCAGCCACCCATCCTTCCAGCTTCTCAACCAATTGCGGGTCCACCAAGTCATTCACACCATCGCCATCTCGGAGTTGTAATTCTTGGCAGAAGGACTTGTAGTCGATCTTTTCGAACTTTGGAGTTCTGGGAGTTCCGGAGCTAGCTCCATCGCTATCACTCAACACCAACCAAACATCATACCTGAAGCGGTTGAATTCTGAATGCCACCAACCTCGCTTGACCCTCATCTCCACCTTTGCCAAACGGTTTTGGAAGAGCTTGTGACCACTACGATCAAGGCGATGAAACAGGACGTCATCAAAATAGGACAGCTCCTCATTGACTACAATGAATCAATTGGATTGTACCATATCACCAAGTATCTGACTCTAACTGGTGAGGCTTCCGAAGGACTAGGAAATTCATGGGAGAGGAGAAAGTTTCTTAAAATGATTACTTGCATGCGTTGCATGGAGAGGAAACAAATGGAAACAACTGGACTTGACCAATCAGCTCCTCATTGACCACGGACTGTTTGGCAGCATTCAACACAGCCATTGCTGTTGCATCCTGACGTCGCAAGGCCTGGTATGTTTCAACATGAGCACCTTAGCACGACAGGATCACGACAGGCTCTGTGCTTCAGTAGATTCGTTGCTTCTTGATGGTCCGCTTACATTGACATGCAGTTACGGCAGTTGCGGCTTAGGATGCTTAAGCAAACCCCATACAACGCACACACAAATTCCATGCATCTCAGTCAGGAATATTTGTACATGTGCATGTATCATCATGTATCTCTCCAAAGCGTCGTGTCACGTCCCAACGACAAGTAAGTTCAAGTGACGGAAGGGAAGCACGTGGCGCTTGCTTTGGATATCGCCGTAAATGACCACGCCACCATCGCGCGTGGCATCTGCCGAAAGCTGCATACCTGGAAATTTAAACTGCCACTATTGACGAGTTTAGCTGCACCAAGTTTTGACCACAAAACGCACACATAAAAACCCAAAGCACAAAACTCCTAGAAAGAGAAAAAAATTGGGTTTGAAGTTTCAGCTGCATTTCAAGAGGTAGTTGGCACTGGGAAAGTACATCGTCACACCGTTGCACAGCACAATGTCCTCGGCCCCGACTCTCTCACAATCCAACTTTCACTTTCTAGGGAAACACTGCTGAAAGTGACTGACATCACAGACCATTCTCAAACATGTTCAAGCTGAGTGCAATTCGGTGCAAACAAATGCAAGATATTGAAGAAATTGAAGATCAAGCAAATGCTTAAGCAAATGCTGCAGCAAATATTGCAAGCAAGCATCATTTTCCTTTTCTTTGCAAACATCGAGGATCTCATGTGCCGCTAAGGATTTGGTCTCCACGTTGAGATGTTGATACTGTGGCAACGTCCGTTGCAACTGCTGCACCGTTTCCAAGGCTCGGCTGGAGATGTCGGTGCCAATGTAGCGGCCCGTGGAGCCCAGCAGCGGCGCCAGGCGAAAGAGGAGCATCCCATTGCCGCAGCCCAACTCAGTGATGCAATGACGACCCTGACGACCCTGACGATCCGACGTCAACAACTTCTGGTGAACAGGATTCGACACCTGTTCACAACTCCATTCAACCCACTCTTTGATCACAGCTTCAATGTGAGGTCTTCTTGAATAGGTATCTGTGTAGCCACTCCAGTTCAAAGTTGGATCATTGGTAGAGACGCTGTGGTCAGTCTCTTTGTACATCTCATCATAGACAGCGCCCCAGTTGTTGACATTCACCTCTTCCACCCCGCCATCTCCGTCCAACACATCACGGGCAGCCCAATCCGTAGCATTCTTCGTCACCACGTAGGCAGCCAAGGCCTTCCCATAAGGACCATCGAAGGCCTTGGCACAGTGGCGAAGGTCTCCTGATGCCTCATGTCTCCCTTTAGATGTAAAAGATTGTAAAATCAAGTTAAACATTTAGGATCGTTTAGGTATTGTAAAATCACCTATCACCTTGGGTTTCAGTTGAATCATTGAAAGAGCCCCAATCATGTTCCGTCGTGCTCATGCCTACTGTTTGACTTTGACTAAGGTCATGAATGAGTTGTGAAAAGCTGAGTCATGAAATGTCATGACTATCAAGAGGCTGTGACCAAGGCATCTGCGACGACAGGATGTGCTTTCAGCACCGCAGAGACTTCTTCACATTCGATTCGCACACCTGAGATCTTCACCTCAGACAAGTTCAGGAGAGAACTCGTCTGGGAGAACTACCTACTGTAGTCTAACTCAGTCTAAGTCTGGATACGGGAGACCTTCGTTTTGAATTTTCTGTTGAAGTTCGCAGTGCCTGTCTGGATTGGACGGCCATGGGTACAAACGACTCAAAACCTACTCCTGAAATCTTCGTGGAAAAGGGCGCAACGTCGCCCTCAGGGATCCTTTGCATCTTGGCATATCTTGGCCATGTGACCTGAAAATCGTTGCGACCCATGTAGTGGAAGGTCTCATTGGTGTCACTTTGCACTCTGCACAAATCACCTGGGGCACGGAGATCTGAGTGGCACTCTGCGTGACATGGCAAACATTGGAATAGTTTTGGGATGTTTCGGGCACTGAAGGGAGGTTTCCAAGTTGGATGGATAAATGTCTTTAAACATCTTAAAACATCTTAAAACTATTTGACCATTATTTGACTCTCAGTCATATCACGTCATATCATGTCATATCTCAATATTTCCTCAACACGACGCTTCTCCACAGCTGACCTGTTTTATAGAGAGTGAAAGGGGCATCTGCTGCTCTGGGACACAACTTGGGGAAATCGAAGAATGCCATGTTGGTCTTCTCAGGATTTTTCATATAGCCCGTGGCAAGACAATCTCCACCAATGAAGAGTTCACCAATTGTTCCGGGCTTGGCTGGTGTCAAGCTTTCCTCTGTGATGTGACCATTGTGACCCTCGTAGTTCGGCTCGAAAACACAGAAAGTCACATAGGAGAATGGTTTTCCAATTGGCACAACAGCTCCCAGCTTCTCAGCATTGTGTCCCGTCACCATGAAATGTGAGACCCCAACGCTGGCTTCTGTCGGGCCATAGAGGTTGTGTACCTGAGCACATCCCCCAACATTGCCCAACTACCGCATAACAAGAAAGGTGGCGTGAACCAGCCACTGCAGCCACACTGAAGCTTGAGCCAGCCCTGGTTTCGCCTGGAGGTCTGGAATGATCTGGAAGAGCTGTTTGCAAGTTGATGTCATCAAGGCTTCACCAATTGTCAGAACCCGCTTCAGGCACTTCTGTACCTTGCCAAGGTGGATTTAGGCATTTAGGGGTGCCCTATCAAAAAACAAATCAACCTGTGCCAGGCGTGTTGCAAAGTGTAGAAGCTGCTTCATAGTTTCATACATTAACAAGTACTTAAAACATCTAAACATCTTAAAACAACAATATCTGCATGTACATTAAAGTCATTAAATTATAATTAAATCATGAATATCTGCCGCACGTCTGGAAGTCATGGCTCTGATCCTGGCCGCTAGTTTTTCTATTCTCTTTCTGCTTTCTTTCTAATCATTGACTCCTGAACGCTTCGCCACTGGCCCTCAGGCACCTCCTTTGCCTCATCTGGGTTCCGTTCCAAGTAGTTGACGAACTCCACCAGCAACGTCGGGACGAAGCAAGCGCAATTCACACCTTTGCTGGTGATCGTCTCGACAATGGCACCAGCATCTTTGTGAGCGCCTCGGACAGCCGGGAAATATCATGAAATGAAAAAATAAAATTAATAAATAGAAAGATCATGAAGATCTGTCAAATTCTGTCAATCTGTCTCCAAAAGGGAAAGCACAGCTGAGGACGGCACCAGGATTGGCAATCTGCAAGGTACCGCCTGCGCAGAAAGCGGTGAAAAGGTCCTGGATGGAAACGTCGAAGACGTAGGGAGTTTTCAGCAAGAAGACCATATCCTCATGCAATGTGCAGTGCTCCACAACTGCCTGGGCATAGAGGGCGCTACCACGATGAGGAACGCAGCAACCTTTGGGCTTTCCTGTGGAGCCTGAAGTGAAGAGCACATAGGCTGTGGCTCTGTCCGACACATCTGGCAGCTCATTTGCTGAAGGGGTTGGATGACCCGCAGAAGTGCAAACCAGGCCATTGTTGTGCACAGCCAACACGGTGCGGGGGTTTTGATGTAGAATGGGCTGTGGCAGCTGATCTACAGGGACCAAGACATGCTTGATGTCCGCTGTCTCCATCATGGCTTGTGCACGGCTGGCTGGGAAGTCTGGCTCAATTGGTGTGTAGGCTTTCCCTGCTCGGAGAACCCCCAGAAGTGAAATGACCAATCCACAAGAACGATCTGCCACCAAAGCCAAGACTGGATCGTCCAGTAGAACCAAATGACTTGCACATCGTTCGACAGCTTTCCAAACCTCGTCATAAGTCATCGAAGTTTCATCATGCTGAAGACATACATGATCTGGGCGCCGCTGGGCGCTGGCTTCCAACAAATCGTGGAGAGTAGGCATCCCGAGGCTTGGCAAAACTAACAAAACAAGCGACACAAAAATGGCTTCCGGGATATGCCCATGAAATTCATTTGAAATGTTGCTATATGTTGCAACGTGTTGCAATGTCTTGCACTTGCAAAGTGTCACGCAGCAACGCAAGTATGTGATTAACACTGCAGGCAAATCCGAAACTCATGGTATTGTTGAAATATGTTGAAATTGTGGTCATGAATCATAAATGAATCATAAATGAATCACAAAGCATCACGTGCAGCATGGGTTTTCGGGTTCGCGAGTTTCACGGCTCGTTGCAGACACGGCCAGGCCGTTCAGGCCCTTCCGGCTGCTCCGGCTGCTCCGGCTCTGGCTCCGACCGCGGTTCACGTCGTTCAGGCTGAACGCTTCGTTGCCAGTAGCTGAACGCTTCTCCAGGTGCTTCAGGCACCGTCCAAGCTGCAGGGTTTTGCAAATCCCTGGCACGCAAGAGATAGCAAGATATATGAGTGATATATAGGAGCATTGTCAATAGGAGTGAGTAATGAAAAAAAATCAATAGAAACAAAATTACTTCGAATGATCCCCACCATGGCATATATAGCTACATACTCCACAGCTCTGGAAAGAAATATCTAAATACGCAACTTGGCCGAAGGACACCAAAGAGCAGCATCATTTTTTCCACCATAATGTTCTTGCATACCAAATGTTCTTGCATACCCTCAGTCATCATGCGGTTGGCATAAGCAGTGATATAAATACTTTACATATATTTTGTCTGACACATCTACAGATACATCTTTCTGACATTTTTTCCGACATTCTATCTGGCACATCTTCTCTCGACCTCCCCATCTATCTCGCATATCTAGCATATCTTCTGACATTCTTTTTGGCATATCTTCTGACACTCTGTCTGGCATATCTTCTGACATTCTTTCTGACATTCTTTCTGGCATTCTATCTGGCATATCTTCTGACATTCTTTCTGGCACTCTATCTGGCAGATATCCTGATATTCTTTCTGGCATATCTTGTGGCATTCAGAACATTCTTTCTGGCATATCTTATGACATTCTTTTCTGGCATTCTATTTTGCATATCTTCTGACATTCTATCTGGCATATCTTCTGACATTTTTTCTGGCATTCTATCTGGCATATCTTCTGACATTCTATCTGACATATCTTCTGACATTCTTTCTGGCATATCTTCTGACATTCTGTCTGGCATATCTTCTGACATTCTTTCTGGCATTCTATCTGGCATATCTTCTGACATTCTATCTGACATCTTTTCTCACATTCTTCCCGTTGAGGTCCGGCAGTGCCCACTGCGATCTGGAAGTCGCGGTTGAGGTCTGGAAGTCGTGGTTGAGGTCCGGCAGTGCCCACTGCGATCTGGAAGTCGCGGTTGAGGTCCGGCAGTGCCCACTGCGATCTGGAAGTCGCGGTTGAGGTCCGGCAGTGCCCACTGCGATCTGGAAGTCGCGGTTGAGGTCCGGCAGTGCCCACTGCAACCTGGAAGTCGCGGTTGAGGTCCGGCAGTGCCCACTGGGATCTTGAGCTTGCGGTGGAGGTCCGGCAGTGCCCACTGGGATCTGGACTGCGAGGAGGAGGAGGCGGAGGAGATGGAGGAGGAGGATGCGGAGGTGGAGGAGGAGGAGAACAGCTCTGATAAAATCTAACAACCCTCACCTGGCAGGTGGGGAAAAAATAACGAAGAGTATAGCGTCAGTAGTATCAGTAGTAGCAGTAGTGTCGGTAGTCTCAGTAGTGTGGCTAGTGCAGCGGGTGGCATCGGAATTCATAGAATTCGTGCGCGAGATGCTCTGAGACTCTGAGCCCTGCCTTGGAGCGACACATCTCCAAAACATCCGCCTGCGAGGCTCTGCCAGGAGGCTCAAGGCCCTCTGGACTCATTCCCTGCTTTCATCTCAAAAATCATCTCTGGTGTCATTGTTGTCATCGTCATCGTCATCATCATCATCATCATCATCAACAACTTCTTCTTCATCATCATATGATGTTTTCTTTGCAGTATTCTGCATTCTCCTGCCTATTTTTACCTGCTCGTTCTGGTTTTCTTCCCCCCTTTCAGCGCACCTATCAGCCGCAACTCGTTCCATGGGCTGAGCATATTGCGCAGATAGGTCCTTTGCAACACCTGTCCAAGCAGTGGCACAACCAATTTCTGTGATGAACACAACAAATCAACAAATCTAATGTTGTTTGCGAAAAGAAGTCTTGAGTAGATACGAAAGAATCTCTTATGGAGATGGACTTGGAACATCTTGGACTCCAAACTTCAAACAGGATCTCTTCGGAGATCTCTTCAAACATCTTCAAACATGGCCCTGAGCTCCATGCTGAGAAGTCGATAGAAATCGTCCCTAGGTCGACATGTCGCAATATGTCGCAATGCACGAAATGGCTTGGCGACTTGGCCATGACTTGGCAATCCGAGGCCAAGGCGTCTTGTTGGCCTCGCGTCATGGTCTATTGAAGAAGGTAACAGAATTTGTTTCACAACATGTAACAATTGTACTTGAATTTTGAAAAAAAGGGATTGAAATCGGTTCAAAACAAGATAAAACAACCTGCCTCCAAGCACCTGAAAAATCTGAAAATAACTCAATTCTGTTTCACATGTGCCTCTGCCACGAACTCCTTCGGAAACAGTTGAGGAGAACCTGTCTGGAATGGCTGAAAGAGATCACGATGCCATCAGAATGCCACAACATGAGATACGTCGAAATCGACACATCGAAAACGAATGAAAACGACATGTACTTAGACTATCTTAGACTTATCTGAATCATCTGAAGGATCTTCAATGGAGGGACATCTTTGAATATGTTAAAGATCAAGTCAGTCAAGTCTTAGAACTTACCCGAATTGCTTTACTGAGTTGGCATGAGTCGGCTTTCTGCATGTGACCTCCGTCGCCAGTGGAATAGTTTTCCAGGCCTCAATGGTGAAGCTTGCAGCTCAATTCATTCTGATATGTGCACTTCGTGTTCTTGGACAATATGGGGAGTTTGTAATGGCAATCTGCCATGAACCTTTGCTGGTAAAAAGCCTCCCACGTACGACCTCATCTGCCATAAGATGTATCATTGCGCTTGGCATTGCTTCGTGTACCTCGCAAGGGTTTCACAGCAGACCTGCTCGAAAAACAGAAGGATCTCTTCAAAAAACTCAAAAGAATGCAACCAATACAGCAAAGATGGGTAGGTTTGTGCATTGGTTGCTTCGTGTCATGCAGCCTCCATCATTTCATGCAAAGCTTTGCTATCTTCACTTTCTCGCGCATTGACGACGCTGATCTCCATCGTCCTGGGTATGTGTGTGTGAATTGAACAATGTAAGGAGAATCACAGCAAGGACAGTCACGCCAAAGACTCAACATCAAGAAAACACACGTTTCATCAATGTTCACATCGGCTTAGCGCAAAGTACCTAAAATAAGCGAGCCAACTGTCCAAATGGATTAGCAACACCACTGAATAAAGTACGCAATAATTTTTGCATTTTTCCTAAATGTGCAGGATGCTGGCTCCCCATCTCAAATTAAAAAGCAAAGATCAAACCCTTTCAGATATGAACCTCAAGGGCTTTCGATGGATATCGATGAATGTACTTCTCAAGTACAAAGAAACTTTACCTGAGTACATGTTGGAATTTTGCTTGGCTGAAATGCTGAAATCCTACTGAGATTACTACAATGAAACGGGGCCGGTTTACTAATCACACTTCAATGTGATTGAGATTTATTGAAGAATATATAGACATGAATAGACTGCATCCTGCGTCCAAGCTTCGTGTGATTGTGCACAGTCTGTCTGCCAAAGCCCTGCAAGCGTCCCAGCACCGTGGCAGCCACTCTTCGAACCAAATAGGATTCTTCGACCACAGCGATGCGCCGTGGTCGAACCAGTGGTGGCAAATGCTTGGCTGCCCAATCCAAAAAACGATCCTCATTTGCTTTCCACCGGAAGCCACCGGAAGCTATGGCAATGTACGCAAGTATGACTGCATGGAGAAAGCTTGGACAAGGCATGGAATGGTTCGAAGGCTACCTTCACTATCCATTTGATTGGACTTTTAAAGGCAGTGTCACAAGTGAACTCTTAGAGCTCTATAGGCAATGCTGTCGATTCCAACGTACCGACTCAAGGCCAAGATAGGCCAAGGAACTGTGTTGAAACCAGTGTTGCCCACACAACCGCACTTCATACGAAGTTCTTCAGTTGGGCATTCATTGCAACTAATTGCCACCACTCGGTTCGTGATGATTGAGCCTAACTCCCCGGGGATTTCCATCAAGACCAAGAGCTGCGCAAGCGTAGCATGCGCTTCTCCTCAGTGAATCATAGTGAATCACTTAAGTGACATCTTGTCAGATCTTGTCAGATCTTGTTAGATCTTGTCAGATCTTGTGACTCTGTGATGTCTTCTGTCTCTTTCTGCCTCTTTCAAGACCGTCTTGTTTGCGAATTAGTTCCCAATGCGAGCTATTGGTTGTTGGCAAATACTCTCGGGTCAACACAAACATCTACACGCATTACAGGGTTGGTACGGCTAGAAAACTAGCGTTCTAACATTTGAAATGCTGAGAAAAAGCGCAGAATCCTTTGTATATTTGTGTGTGTGTGTGGGAACATCTTGGCGTCTACAGGCTCTGCAAACCAACTCCTTCATTGGCAAGACCACGCAAGCTGTAACTACTTTTCTTTCTGTGATGTCTGTATAACCAATGGCATTAATTACCCAGTTCCAATGGTTTCCTTGCAAGTCCTTCTGCATGAGCTCTCCACAACGCGTCAAAGAACTAGGGGAAAACGAAATCAAGCAAAGCGATCATATGATGGCACTCCCGATCTGAATTCTGTGGTAAGGTTCCGTTTGCTGCAGAGCCTTCGGATTTCCCAATGTGTCAATCAATTGAACGCAAACTATCTGCAGTTTACTCGATTCTTCTCCATTCTTTTCCATTTCTTTCATTCCTGTCATTTGTTTTAATGTCTTCTTCATTACTTCATACTTCGCGAAGCGTGTATTCAGAAGGAAGTCTGTAGTTGCCGTTGCCAAGTGGCCGTTGAGCTCTGCCGCCTGAATTGAGCTGAGTCGGCCTCGTCCACCCACCAAGATGATCGGAGCATTTCGATGCTTCGCCTCGGCTGCACATGCCATGCGCACAGCGAAGCTCCAGCTCCGATCGCAATCTTTAGAGCGCACCTCTTTTGGACCAAAACCCGTGCGGTATGATGTCTCGAAGAGTCTTGAATGTGAACCTGGTATGTGAACGTGGTGAAATTAGTATAACTGATATATAACATCTCATAACCGACTCATAACCTTTTGAAGTTGAACAAATCGCTGAATGACTTGATCTTTGCTATCGAAACAGTGGAATCGCCACCGCCATGGAAAGTAAGGGGTAAACATGCTGTCCATTTCAATCCGCAATCCGGCAAATCATCGAATATGCAAATGTTATCCAGAAGTGTAGCTGTTTTGCAGCTGTGTACATCCCCTGAAAGAATCCTTGATGCAACATGATGCAACATCAATTCTACGAATCGAACACGAGGGATGGCACCATATGGCACCTCTTTAAGCCAAGCATCTGCCAGATCCAGGACTTTCCGGATCTTGGAGATTCGATCATACCAGTTCGATAGGACCACAATAGCATCCAGCGATTCTGTTTCGATACCACTGTTCCAAGGTTTGCTGAGAAAACTGAACATCTCCTGCACCTTTTTCACTTCGGATTCACTTGGCTTTGGAGCTCTACAAGGATCTTCACCTAGTCGGATTTGGGCCACCTGTCACCTGCAGTTCTGCCTTACCTGAAATGTTCGCATATCACATCATATCACCATACATACCTATGACATACCCCTCTTGGTTTAATGGTACCCTCTTCAGAGTGTGGCTGGTTAAGCCCCGGCAACAAAAACGCTGCCCAGATACGCCCAGTTTTGTTCGACTCTTTGTCGATATTGTAATATCATTATATCCTTGTGATATGTTGTGATATCATATTTGACACGCAGCATACCGTGGCATACCACTTTCCCATTCTATCCATTCTATTGCTCATGGTAAACGTTGATGAATCCGAGGTGCTGTGATCATGCATCTTCCGGTAGTGCTCACGCAAACGTGACAGTTCCTTTCTCAAAGCTGTTGACTCACTCCAGTGGTGCAAAGCTCCTTCTGCTTCTGTGGCGCGAGTGTCATTCAGACTTTGCATCTCATACTGCGGATGCAAAACACGAACCACCTCAGAGCAGATAAAAGATGATAAAAGGCCCAGAACAAACATCAGCTGAAACATGCTGAAACTGGAACTGCATTTTAAAATGTTCAGATATTTTAAGAATTTGTATGATGAGGGGACACAGGACACTTATTTGAACAAAGGCACCAGTGAGAGCCTCTCTTGGCTTTCATCATCATGCTCCAGGCTATGTAGGTAGCTGTCCTGCTTCCAATATATTCAAACAAATACAAACAGAGAAAATCTTTGAGGATGCGCATGAAATCTGTTGAGTCCCGCTGGTTTGAGTGGAAACAGGTGAACAACCATAACAACCATCAAACCAAATGGATCAAGGGCGCTTCGCACACTGCAAATGCATGCGCCGGAGCTGCCCTCCGTCCTGAAAGCACACGGCTTTGCCAGCTTGCAATTCTACCTTTTCCCCAGCGACCTTGGATGCCAAGTCGCAAAAAATACAGAAATAAAACCCCCAAAGAATCGAAATCGGGAACGGTTTGACTCTGAGGAACCAACCTCCAAGTAAACACCTGTACCTCCTTTGAGCGTGAGGTGGATGTTAATCTGATTGTTGACTGCTCCGGTGTGTGGACCAACGTAGGCGCCACCAACAGAGCGAAAAAGAACGATCTCTTCGTTGTTGGGCATCACGTATGGAAGTCCCGGCTTCGTGGGAATCTCTGGAAGAAGAAGCTCACAGGTATGCGGCATCACTGCACAAATCTCTGCATTCCACGTATGCCCTCGGTATAAAAAGAGGTTCTGCCAAGAGCCAGCGGCAAATAAATAGGGATATGCCTCAGCCCGTCAACTTGTCCGATGTCATTTGGAATATTTGGAATGTCATCAGATGGTCATCAGATTGTGACTAATTTTTGTGTTGGGCAACATGTTGGGCAAAGTGTTGCGGGCATGTTCAACATCCAAAACCATCAAAACAGATCAAAACCCGATTGAATCACATTGATTCTGTTGATGGTTTTGACGGTTTTGGATGTTTAAAAAACTATCAAATTGAATCTACATCATATTCCAATGATATTCCCATTTCCCATTAATAGCCACGAGCACTTCATATCATTTCCATATGGGGTGTTCCATCTCTGGACATGTTGCTTTTTGGAGTTTCGGCGCAGCGAGCACTGCTTCGCTCAAGATCCGTCCGAACTGAGCTTCCAAGTGTCGGACGAAGGGCCAGGCCTCGACGCGTATTACGAAGCCCAACCGAAACATGCCCAAACCAGTGTTATTGTGAATTATTAATTCATGTTAATTCATGTCAATTCATTGTTAATTCCATTTCGATCAATGATTTCAATTTAATGTCACTGTAACTGCACTCGTTCACGTCAGCTGTCAGCTATGCTTTGCTTTTTGACACCATCTCACGAGTGTTGCAAAAGGACTGAACTTGACTGAATCGGGCTGAACTGTCCAATCAGGTTGCACCTTGTGACAATCCCAAAAGGGCTGTCGCGTTAAACCGCGAACCCAAACCGTAGGCGTCTCAACAGCAGAAGGCCAAGGAATTGCAGCCTTGGATGTCAATGACAAAGCCAACACACAATCGAATCAACCAGAATTGACAAAGAAAAGGAATTCGGTCAAAACAAAACACAATTCGATGGAAACATCCTACAGTATCTTGGATTATCACATATAATTAGTACTACTGTGTGTCATGGTTCGATTCGCACACATTGCATCCATGATCCCCTCTCCAAAACAAATCACAGTGCCAATGCCAGCCTCATCTTCTGGCAGAACTTCAGGAAAAGCACGGGTGGAGCCGCGAAATAAACTTCTTGCGCGTTTCCAGGTGTCATCTGCACCTGCGGTATCTCCTTGGAAGTCTCAAGAAGTTTGGGACCACGTGCAGTGTGCGCAGTGATGTACAGATGTTAGACAAATTCAACACTTTGTTCTTCTCAATTTGTTTATGTAGGTTTCACAATCTCTGCAAGCTGCCCATGCTGAAGAGCTTTTGGATAGCCTCAGGACGGATCTGGAACACAACCAGCACATGTAAAGAGATGCAGATCCAGATAGATCTCCACAAGATGCTGGCTTTCCAAAACTCCATCCACACTGAGAAAGAGCACCAAAGACTCACAAACAAAAGCAAGATAAACAAGTGAACTGAATCCATCCGAAGCAACAGAAACATAAAGATGTATCATCATAATCATCATACCACAAACTGTATCTATCTAGATCTGCCTGAGGTTCTGCAATGTTCAAACTGTTTCCATATATTTTCACATAGGCTGTGGCGGGTGACGATTTTGTACATCTTCTGCGGGCACCGCGTTTGAAGCTCGTCTCGGATTTTCAGCTCAATGAGGCAATCGGGAAGCAAAGCCACTGACCTCGGCTGAGAGGAGCACAACATGCACTACATGGCCGGCAGTTTGCATAGTCTATCTATGTCTATCCATGTCTATCCATGTCTATCCATGTCTACCAGTCTACCTTGTATGTTTCATCCAACCCTCACCTACACCTAATCCATCCAATAAAACTAGTCTACCGAATCTATTGTATCCTATTCTTTGTATCTGCAGTATCCTGATCTTGTCCTGTCTCCTCGTGTCTTCCGTCATTGTATCTATCGGTCCATCCAATCCATATCCATCTATATCCATCTATATATATATATAATATATCCATCCATATCTAAACTATTATCCCGAACTATACCTTACAAGTACCAAACACAGCATGCGTGACATACAAATTCAAGGCAAAACCTGGAAACAAACCATGAAGGTTTCTATGAAACTATATAAAACTGGTTCCCTATTGCAACTGGATGCCGAGATTCTCAAGCACCGCTGCTGCCACGGCATAGTTTTTGGCGACGTTGGGCAAATCAGCCGCCCAACTCGCGTAGGTACCTAGATTGACGTGCCGTTGAATGAGAGCCGTGGCAGGGTTTGGCCACTATGGGTTACTGTGGTTTCGGAGACTGCAACCTCACACAGTGATCCACCTGCAACTGTTTCTTTAGGATTTTCCAGACTTTCTTAGATGTGAAACCGTGATGTGGCAACGGGGCTACAAGTAAGGGTTTGCCAAGAGAAACGCGATGCAAAAAACGAATAAATCGCCAGGAAGTTGCTAGCGACTCCAAAGTTCACATCGTGGAGAAAACTTCGGATCGCTGCAGGTGATTCTGAATCCTGTCGACTGTGCGACAAACGAAAACTTCAAAAAGCGACCAATCTCTGGGATGATCATATGAAATCATGTGTATTATCCATCAAGTATCAAAAATCAACAGGCATCAAAAAAAAGTCTTACAATGAAGTATCGACAAAAAAAACATAAAACATATTAAAACATCATGATTTTACGGCTGATGTTCAATCCGGCCTGCCATGCTGCTGCCCACTCATCCAATTGCCGCCGGATCTCTTTCTCGGTCGACACCTGGCGGTCACTGGATGTCACTGGCTGTTTTCATGTGAGCTCCATCTCCAGCGACCTGGGAGGCTGCAGCCACCAGTAGGTTCAGAAACACCAGCGAGCTACTGGTCATTGCAAAAACGATAAACAAAGTCTGATGTCTAATTGCACTATATTACTATTATATTACATTATATTACTATATTGCATTAATGTCTGCTGCTCCAGGTTTACTTTGTAGCCAGTTGGAATGGAATGGTGGCACGGCAAACAACAAATATGTGCAACGTCTACTTTTACAGCACAATGATATCATTTATGTTGCTCACTTTTCTTGATTATAGTTGTACAATTGTGCGACACATAAGCACCTAACTGAACGTAGTTTGTTGTATCTTATCTTTGGGAGTCTTTCAAGAGTCTTTCGAGAAGCCTTTCAAAGCTGTTTCTGTCACAATTCCAATGGCCACTGGAACGGGTGCTTAAGCCAAGAGATTCCAAAAGCTTCCAAGAGTACAGCGTGTGGTGGAATCATGGCAGCCGTGTGTTCTTTTCAGTGTCCATCTGTCAGATCTGTCTGTCTTGGTTACGGTTTTGCACAATTTTCCGCGCAAACAAAAGGCTCACGGCCGTCCTACGATGTTTGCCATTTGCTCAGGCTTCGGATCTCAGCTGGATGTCAAACCATCGAATTCTCCGAAAAGCTGCTTAGTAAGACATGTTAATCGCTGGTGCTCTGGGAAGTTTCTCATTTGGTTCACAGCTTAGGCTCAGTCCAATCGTGGCGCATTACCCGTCCCTCAATGCGCCGAAGTTCATGTGGTGAGCAACTTGAATGGCACTCTGCAAACCAATTGGGGCAATGGGGCTCGTGCTCAACGCCATCAGCACGGCAGAACTCAGCCTGTCACAACGAAATTTCTTTGATTTCAATTGATTTCATACTAGGATTCTGATGGATTCTCATTCCACTGATGCCAAAACCAAATCTGCTCTTTGATACACGAGGGTTGCAGGTTCCTGAGGTTGTTGCCAGTGCTTCTACCCTGGCAAGAAGCCCTTTCCACTTCTCCTACAGGCGTTTACTGTTTACGCAGTCATACAGCATGCCGAAACATGATGCGGGCAGTCAGGCATCAGGTGCAAAGTGCCCTAGGTTCCAAACATCCACGGGCTCAGCGGAGTTGTTCTCCTAACAAGTCCGAAATGCAGCGGAGACAGTGCGTGTAATTTTGTCTAAGAAAAGCAGGTTTAATTAGTAGACACATGGTGCCAAATGGTGCCAAAAGCCCCAAAATGGAAGCCCAAATTGGTAAAAATAGACGATGCGCAATAGATGTCGACTTGTAGAATGGGCGGGAATGGGATGGTATGTGCATGCACATTGTGAAACTGTCACTTCAAGTATTGGAGAAGGAAAGCGATACAACCGGATGCCAATGACATAATAACATGTAAAATATGGTATAATATGGTGCTCATGACTGTCACAACATGTCGCAACGATTTCATGACTGGCTTCAACTCGGACCAGGGATCGAAGCCCAGGTTACGAGAGGTGCCCAGGTTACGTGTAGGATCTGGATCCAAATGGATCCAACTGCCAATTCCAATCGTGTCATCGTGTCATGACAAGTCCAAGTGGTGTCCCCGTGTGGATCACCAGTCGTCCTCGGTCTCAGTTGGTTGCCTCGGCCATCAAGGATAGAATCGGATAGAGCGGATAGCACGTGGTACGTAACAGCCAAAATGCTGCTGATGGCTGCACCAAGTCTCTTGCTCCGTGGGTACCTTGGGAATGAACGCATGAAAAACATGTCGTTCCGCATGTTCAGCAATTCTTCATGCGGGCTCTTGCTGCCACGTGCATTTGCATGTGTTCAGCAAGCACAAGCCATATGACACAATTTCTCATCAGCTAGGCATGCCTTCATTGCAAATGCCTCCGTGGAGCCAGTCAACAGAAAAAACGCAGCCTGTGAACTTGTTTCGTGCCAAGCGGCAGGATCAATGTAAGGATTTCTGAAGTGGCTTGCCGCCTGGTGAAGCAGAATTGATCTCCGACTGTTCGCATGAATTTGGTGGAAAACTGAGACATGAGGTCAGCCAAAAGAGCTGTTGAGGGCTGTTGAGGGCTGTTGAGGACATGCCAAGTGCCACAAGATGCCACAAGATGCCACAAGATGCCACAAGATGCGAGAGATCGAACGAGTCAGAGAAAGAACATTTCAACTTATGTCTCACACCGAGTGAAACGTTGTGAAAGATCTAACTCTTTGAAACATCGTGAAAGCATCGTGAAACATCGTTAAAAAACATCGTTAAAGCCTTTCGTTAAAGCCTTTCGAAAATCCGGCTGTGCCCCGAACCGGCTCCGAAGGTCTGGACTTTGACTGCGAGGACCTGGGCCACTGGCCGAACGGCTTGTGATCTGACAACGTCGGGTCGTAATTCGAATAACTCGAGTAACTCGAGTAACTCGAGTAATTAACTCAATATGTAACTCAATGAGTAAACCAATTTGAGTTTTGTGTTCTGAGCTCTGTGCGTATCTGAATCTTCACTGCCAGCCTTGCGTGTTGCGTCATGTTGCGTGATGTTGCGTGACATTGTGACAGTCCAATCGTCCAATTGGGCCACTATGGACCATCTGAATGTCTGTGCATGTTGATTCATGATGTGCATCTCCCTGCATTTGACTTCTGATGTCTGATGTCTGTGCCTTGGTCTTCGATCTTCGACGTGTTCTCCGCCGCTCCTCAGACTGTCAGAGACTGTGCGTATCTGTCAGTGGCAAGTCTCACCTTAGCTCAAATAGCTCAAATAGCTCAAATAGCTCAAATAGCTCAAATAGCAATTGCTCAAAAGATTTGAAATAGATTGAAAAGATTTGAAAAGATTTGAAAAGATTTCAAAAAGATTTGAAAAGATTTGAAAAGATTTCAAAAAGATTTTTTGAAAAGATTTGAAAAGATTTGAAAAGATTTGAAAAGAACACAAAGTGTCAATAAGTGTTGTCAATAGCTCAAGACAAAGTGTCACCTGATGTCACCTGATGTCAACTGTTTGTTTCGCACCGAAAGTCTCCCAGCGGCACCTTGGAGCTTCGGTGCCGCTTCCGCCGACCTTGGCACTGCAACAGCAACAGCAACAGCTACAGCCGACGTGTTACAAGATACCGACGTGTCATGAAAACACGGAACAGGGTGGAAATTCCGAGACAATCCAATGACCTGCTTTCCACTTTAAACTTCAACATGCATCCAGATAGCTATCACAATTATCACAGAAACAAAACACTTGGATTCCAGACGCTCCGGCTGAGCACCATGGTCTGGTGGAGAGACATACCTTAGGGCTGCTGACAGCAGTTCTGAACCAGTTGTGATATGCACCCGTGCAGATTCGGTGAGGGACGGATTCCACCATGGCCTGGATGCAATGATTCAACAGCTACGATTCTACATGAACATAGCATGACATAGCTTCAAAATGATTTCAAAACATTTCAAAACAACTTATAAAGTTGACATAAGTTAACTATGTTAGACTATATGTTAACTTCAAATGACTCAATACATGACGGAATGTACATTGAATGTACATTGAATGTGACGCCGCACACCGCACTGTCCGTCCAAGCGTGGCAGCAGTGCTCTGGAAACGCCCACCTCGGTGACCCGTCGCGGGGCCGGCAGGCCACAGGCCACAGGCCATGCTTCGGGCTGCGATGTGTCGATGTTCCGTACAGATTTCGGAGGATTTCCAAGCGACGTGGTTGAGATTTTTTGGTTGTGAAATGCTGTGAATCTTCTGTGTCAATCATCAATCCGTCAAGGTTGCGGACCCCAAATCCGGATTGCTCAAAATACTTCAAAAACAGAAACAAGGAAAGATCGATCAACTGCTAAGTCATGCTAAGTCATGTTTGAAACTGGCACGGACAAAATGCAGTGCAACGGGCGTGCACTTTTCACCGCTTTGGCTTGAGCCACCGTCAAGGGTGGAACGAAAGATTCAACCACAGCACTGCATGACAGGGAAAAGACATGCAGTCATGACATGAAGCCACTCAGATTTCACACCCCTCTTTATTTTCTGGGGTTGAATCTGGTGGAAATTGCCATTCTACCTTCAGCTCACCTTTGTCAGTGAGATCATCTAATTGAGGTGCTTTCATGTGTTTCGTAAGGCCATCAGCAACCATGCTTCCAGTAGATATCCAGCGCACAATGGTGCTTCCATCTTTGGGCAATTCATCTGCATAGGTAGGGTTTCCAACAGACTCATTCGGATGGCGCCAAATCTCTTGACGAAGAGCACTGAGATCTATTGCTAAACGTTTGCAACTCACCTCGGTCATGTTTGGGTTACACAAATGATCTGAAAGTGAACGGCAATCTGTACACCAAATGCATTTCATATCATCCATAGCCTTCGTGTAGATCATGTTTTTCTTCACCTCGGTTGCCTTATTCTTTAAGTGGAACATGATCTGACGGACGTGTTCTGCATCTTCTGATCCTTGAAGCAAAGAAAGAGTCTCAGCTTGCAAAGTGGATCTACAAACGCGACGAATGGTGTTGCTATGCCAATCCAGGAGCATCACCTTTCCACATCCAGTCTGTTCAAACGAAGGGTCTGCCAGTGCCAAAATTCTGCCGGACTGGGATCGATGTCCAGCTACACAATTCTTGCCAATGTTCTCGAAACTAGCTGCATGAGAGGCATCTGTGACACTGAGTAAAATTGAATTTTCAAAATCAAACGCTTTGGCTGGGTAAAAGATTCCTTTGTTTTTATCCTGCATGGAAAAACTCAAAAGTTTGTTGGCTTCAATCAAATGGCGAACTTGAGCTTTTTGCTGCACGGCTTGTAATTGATTCACAGCAAAACAAATGTCTGGTCTACAAATTCTGCCTAACCAACTCAAACTGCCAATGACTGAACGCAACTGACTAATCTCTGACTGAGTTGCTGGTGCACTGAGCTGTTTTCGACGGAGAGGCTCCACGTAAATCGCCTTGGTGCGATCCAAGACATTGGGACAAGAAACGTGGATGCCCTCTTTGGTCTGCTTGATTGTGCGACCACAGTACTTCAGCTCATCATCTTCAACCAATCTGAACTTGAACTTC